TTAAGGGTTACGGGTTTAGGGTTTAGGGGTTTAGGGTTACGGGTTTAGGCTTTAGGGGTTTAGGGTTACGGGTTTAGGTTTTAGGGTTAAGGGTTACGGGTTTAGGTTTTAGGGTTAAGGGTTACGGGTTTAGGCTTTAGGGTTAAGGGTTACGGGTTTAGGGTTTAGGGGTTTAGGGTTTAAGGTTACGGGTTACAGGGTTTAGGGTTTAGGGGACCTTAGACTTAGATCTTCAATGAACTGAACACGAAATCTCTAAACATTAACATCAGATCAGCTAAACCCTGAACCCCAAACCCCAAACCCAACATCCCTAGACGGCATTTTCTTAACATGCGCCAAGCCCAAAGCCCTGAGCTTGAAAATCAAGCCGAGTCGTAGATTCTACATAAGCCTAAACCCTAAACCCTAATACTCGTTACTAACAACCCCAGAGGCTTCCGCACTCCCGAGGCTTCCTTTTCTGTAGAGGGCTCCTTTGCTTTTAGTGGTTCCTTTAAGGGATCCTTTAAGGGTCCATGCCCTGACGTACCTAAACAGGGACTACAGAAAGTGCCTAAATCGGGACTAGGGTTTAGGGTTTAGGCGAAGGCCACTGTGTATACTAGATGAGTCGTTACATGGACCCTTAGGGAACGGACCCTTAAAAGGACACACTAAACCCTAAACGCGAAACCCTAACTAAACCCTAAACCCACAGCCCTACCTAAACCCTAAGCCCCAAACCCCCAAACCCTAAGCCCTTAGACCCATGAGGCACCTCTAAGATCCCAGCCTTGTGCTTCAGAGGCGCTGAAGAACATCATTTAGGGCTTAGGGTTTAGGGTTTAGGGCTTAGGGTTTAGGGTTTTGGGCTTAGGGTTTTGGGGTTTTGGGTTTAGGGTTTTGGGTTTCAGAGGCGCTGAAGAACATCATTGAGGGCCACGTCCAGGCCCGGAAGCCCCTCAAAGGTGTATGGGGACTTCTCTGAATCAGAGTCCCTTTTTTAGGATCCTTTTCGTCAGCGTGCCGTACTATTCGGGGGGATCGAAAAAGGGACCCTAGTTTAGAGAAATGCCTGTATCGGTATGGGTGTAGGGATTAGGGCTGTGGGGTCTTAAGGGTTTAGGGCTCGAGTTGTGGGGGCCAAATCATTTCGGATGCTGGCGCCTAGGATTCCTTGTTTCAAACGTACTCTGAAATACAACCCCTTCCCCCTTCCAAGAAAAAAGATCCCATGATTAAAGGGGCCTTTTCTCATTGTTAGAGTCATGAGGAGTAAAGGGGCATAAAGATTTCAAGACGGTGTTTGGGGTATGTTATGGTGCGACTGTACGGGGACTTGCTGGAGACACTACTACCAGTCAGACCAATGTGTTTGTTTGCTTCTATGGTCGAGGGTGATGTCTTGGGTTGAGGGCTTACAGTGGCGGGATAAGGGTTCGACGGTTTTTTTGAACGAAAAGGCCCACTTTGCAAAAAGACATATCAAGATGAAGTAGACGTTCCAAACAAGAGACATGCAAGTGTGAACACACAAAAGGAAATACATAACGAAAGAAATGACTCGAACCCAAAGATGCAGACAGCGTCAAAGAACTGAAGATCAGCGACGACCGAGAAAGAGAAATGGGCAACGATATCACACTGGGTGGAAAGAGCGAACGGAAGAAATATTTATGGTTTAGGGTTCCTAAACCCTAAACCCTTGGGCAACGTGGTCTCTCCTGGACAGTCTCTTCGCTGCCACATGCGGATGAGACGGAAATGTCTGGAGTCATGGGGAGACTGACTACCTGGACCCTACAATTTCTGCAGATGCTATGGCTGGTGGAGTGGGTGATAAGGCCATGCCTTCGGCTGCTGTGGGGGAGTCTGAGGCTGCTCTTTGTGATAGTGATGTTGTTTGTGATGCTCTTGACTCAGAACATGCGACATGTAGGATGACCCTGTGGCTTTTGAGGGTGATCTTCGACATGAGGATCTTCCTGCAGCTCCTGAGAGTGATGATCGTGAGCATGAAGAATGACGTGGGAGTGAGTATTACATGTGTGAAGTCCGGAAAGGTCGCGCACATGTCTTCGTGATTCTCCTTGGTGTTTCATTCGGGCCGGGGCGGCTTTGATCTGGAATGGCTTTCCTTGTCTGTCTACTCCCTGTGGGATGTTCGGTTCGTCTTCTTCGAAGTGGTCGATGTGTGTCCCACCATAGTGTGTGCGCCGGCAGACGCAAGTCATCACACTTTAAAAGCCAAGACCCTAAACCCTAAACCCCCTAAACCCTAAAGGCCCTAAAAGCTACAAGGAGGAATGAATTAGAGAAGCGACCACAACAAACGCGAAAACGAAGCAACGGAATACGGACCATGGAACACCCGCTTTAGGGTTTAGGGTTTAGGGTTTTAGGGTTTAGGGTCACATCGAAGGCCAAACGAAGAATGAAGCCACGAACACACTCAGGGACAGCAAGACGAAACCGCGAGGACACAACGAGAACAGAAACGGCAAACTGTGAGCAACATACAGCTCGAAGTTTGGCTTTCCTAGGGTTCCCTTAACCAGAATAGCAAGAATAAAAGTAACAGTGATGATAAGAAAAAAGAAAACAAAATGAGACTACAAGGAAGGGAACTGTTGCGAACATCAGATCAAGAAGCAGAATACGCAATCATGGAGAGGTAAAGACGGTCGAAGAAACATCGTATCATGTCGAGCCAGAACAGTTCCATCAAATCTGTTAGCTTGCCTGCACCAAGTCAATGATGCAGAGAGTTGGCGATGGCGAAACTCCACAGCTGACAGCTGAGCTGTGCCCTAAAACCTTAAAACCTTTTTCGCAAGTAAACCCTAAACCCTGAACCCCAAACCCCAAACCCTAAACCCCAAACCCTAAACCCTAAACCCCCCCTTTTTCGCTTGTCTCGTGGTGGTGGCTGCGGGGAAGACTGGTGGGCTCTCAGCGGCCTAGCAAGGGCTGCGTTTAAGAAAGCCGGCCTCCTGGGGCTTGGAAAGGCCTGAGGTTATTGGAGGTTTAGGGTTTAGGGTTTAGGGTTTAGAGGTTTAGAGGTTTAGGGGTTTAGGGGTTTAGGGCTTATAGGGTTTATATAGGGTGTAGGTTATTTGAGGCTAGGCTAGTTGAACGGGGACTTTGGCCCGAGCGCCATGCTGCTTGCCCATCCAAAGTTGCTTAATACCGTAGGACTATTCAGCTTCCAGGTGACTTAGCCTAAGGGTCCATGTACTCATATAGTATATACATTGGCCTTAATGTAGTTCCTATTTAGGTACTTTAGGGTCTAAGTATATACTATATGGGCACATGAACCCTTAGGGTTACCCTAAACCCCAAACCGTGCCAATGGATGGCCGCAATTCCCCAAGAGATGGAACAAAAGACAGCTCCCCGAACCCATTGGACTTGAGGGTTTAGGGTTAGGGTTGCATTGATCCTTAGCAGTTTGTGTTGGCCGTTGCTCGGGCATCGAACAGTGTCTTGCGCTACCTTGGAAATCTTTATCCTCACACCCGGGTGTGGTGTGACTTACTTTTAGGGCTTAAACAGGTTGTTTAGTGTCTTGAGGCTTTAGGATTTAGGGTTCGGGGTCGGGTTTCCCTCCCTTCCAGTCCTAGTTGGCCCCCCGGGAATGGTGTAGCTATCTAAATTCGGACCCCTGTATTGCCAAGAGAACCCACGTCTGCAGCTTAAGATTTAAGGGGCAAGGCTTAGGGTGCAGGCGCATGCACAGGATTTTGGATTTTGAGATGTGGTTCGTAATGTAGGGGCCTTAATAACTAGAACAGGGTTTTTTTTGGGGAGTTCCTTGTTATACTTATGGCATAATCCACTCCAAAACCCTATTCTAATTATAAAGGCCCCTACGTCACTTCAGGCAGAGCTTGACGTCTTCACGCAGTTCTCGGGCAAGAACCGCAAGATTTCCGCCAAAGAACGAGTCCAAATCAGGGATTCGTATATCTGGTTTGACTGGTTCTCCGTGCCGCAGATGGTATGTGCACATCGGAACGATCCGAGAATCCGTGCCGAACAGCTACGTTCCATCGGATCCATCCCGAGTTTCATCCAGGCTTCTGACATGTTCATTGCTCCCAGGTCCCCGGAGTAGTACAACTGTTTCATTGGGTTTAGGGTTTAGGGTTTTGAGTTGGAGGGTTCCTTGCTAAACATGAATAACACAGGAAAAGGAGTTTCGGGGACACGAGGGAATGCCCACTGTTCCTTGCTAAGCACGAATAACACAGGAAATGGGGTATAACACTGACAAGCCTTTTCGATCAAGCACCATTTTTGATCCTCGCTACTAGCCTTAAGGCCCCGCTGGCCTCCATGTACCCACCTAGTATATATTCGGCCCTAAACAACCAAAACAGGGATTGCATTAAGGCCGATGAGAATCCACTGGATATGCGTTCATGGACTCTTAGGAGGGGGATAAAATTCAGAACCCTTCTTTTTTTTTATCGCTAAACTTTAATAACTTTAAACCCCCTAAACCCTAAACCCTAAACCCTAAACCCTAAACCCTAAACCCAAACCCGAGACTCTTTAAGGGGGATACCGCGGATCCCAGGCTCTGGTGCCTCCTCTCTTGAGTCGTTCCACGCGCAGCATGGTTGGCTTTTCTAGCTGGTTGGTGCGCGGATGGTGCAGGACCTGCTGTCTAAAAAGAGAAGCCGAAGGCTCATGAAATGCAAAATATACTATACTACTATACCACAAACTATGAGATCGCAGTTCAACATTTTACAAGCAGGATCAAGCCTATAGATTTTTGTAGATGTCGATCGGGACCCCAAGTCAGGCAGACCTACGCAGGAGCATGTAAGAGGTCTGAGCTCGTAGTCGAAAAGCTGCCATACCTTTATTTACTTGGACCCCCAAAAGTATGTAGAATTATCGCCTTTTTCGGCATTGGGCCATTTTTGTTTACTTGCCTTAGTTTGGGGTTTTGGGTATGGTGTGATGTACCTAAACCCTAAACCCGAAACCCTAAACCCTAAACCCACCACCTGCCCGATTCTATGCATTCAGGCGCCTACGTGTGTCCCATTCCCGCGCCTCAGAACTGACCACGCTTTACATGGGATGGGTTTAGGGTTTAGGGGTTAGGGTCGGATTGCCGAAAAACTCCGGACCCAGAACGTGCCACACACAGATCTTTGTCTTGGGATCCTTCTCATGCAAAGCCCGCGCTTGTCAGCCGGGATACTACCGGGATACCATTGGGAATGTGGCGAATAGGGTTCTTTACAAGGAGACCTTATGCAACGGAACTGTCTACCTTTCGACTCTTTTTGGGACAGAATGGCTACCCTACACATGCAATTTAGACCCTCCTGAATCGTTGGACATATTCTAAGCTTCCCTACATAAGATCCCCCGAATTTAGGCAACCCTCTACATGATTGGATTTCTGAGTTCTCACAGGACGGAAATGTGGTGCAAGCTTCTGGGCTCAGACAGAGTCGATGCGCCGATCTTGATCGTCTCGGCCGCAGACAAGCTGGAGTTCGTGGGCCACTACCCTTATATTAGAGAGGTTTTGTGGGCCTGAGCTTTGGGTTCCGGGAGGTGTTGTGGACGAATAACTGAGAGTGTTCGTTTCGCGAGCACCGGTGCTGTGTCCATCGTACTTTCAGGACATAGCTCGGCTTCGGGGGTTTGCTGAACCTTCAGTCACCAGCCTTCCCTCCAGCTGATCAGATAGTATTAGCATGAGGTTTCTGAACCTAAACCCCCGAAACCCTAAACCCTAAACCCCCTAAACCCTAACCCCTAAACCCTAAACCCCCTAAACCCTAAACCCTATAAGTTAAACCCTATAACCCCTAAACCCCTAAACCCTAAACCCCCTAACCCCCCTAAACCCGATAAGCCCTATAAGCCCTAAACCCTAAACCAAGTGACCGACTCGAGAGCCTAAGCCGCAAGTGCTAAACTCTTAGTAGCTGAATTACTACACTTTAAACTTTTTGGGATAACCCTAGGGCTCCAGTTACCTAAATAGTGGGTTACTAGCCGTATATTATGTACCCCAGTAACCTACTATTTTGGTAACTGGAGCCCTAGGGTAAGATGAAGCTTATGAACTCAACAACTAAGAACTCGAAGCTCTTGAGGGAAGTTCCTTCTTGGCTCGGCTTCCTCACATGAAACCTTACGCACCCCTGGGCCGAGGTTTCCCGATAAGCCGAAGGGGTTCAGGGTTGTGGGGTTTTGGGGTTCAGGGGTTTAGGGGTTTAGGGTTTAGGGGTTTTAGGGGTTTTGGGGTTAAGGGGTTTTGGGTTTTGGGTTTAGGGATTTCGGGGTTTAGGGGTTTTAGGGGTTTTGGGGTTAAGGGGTTTAGGGGTTTTAGGGGTTAAGGGATTTCGGGGTTTACGGGTTTTAGGGGTTTTGGGGTTAAGGGGTTTAGGCAGGGGTTTAGGGGTTTAGGGTTTAGGGGTTTAAGGGTTCAAGGATCAACTACATCCTGAGACAAAGGTCCTTACAGCTGGGTGCAAGCATTGGCGCAAAATGAAGGCGACTTCGCCATGGAAGGTGATCGCCTTCTATGTCGTAGCGTGGTCCACTGCTGGAGATAGCAAGCTTCCTTTCCTACCTTGGTCGGTTTAGGATTCTCGGGTTCGGGGTTTAGAGTTCCAACCTTGTTGATTCTTGGAGAACGCTCCGTTACGGTAGTTCAAGCTAGGGTTTAGGGTTTAAGGGTTTGGTGCCGTTAGTACTAAGGTGCCTACGACCACAAGAGGTATATAGCCATGAATCCTGAACCCATAAGCCCTAAAGCCCTTGGCTACAGGTGCAAAGCGCTTTGGATTTGAAGCTCGCCCGACTGGCGCAAGACAAGAAGCAAAGATCCTGGTTTAGGTGGCGAGGCGTGAGAATCAAGCAGCTTCATCTTCTCATGTTTTCATCACCTGTAAAGGCGGCCGTTGTAACATGTTGTAGTTAAGATGACGTATGAAGTATCCCAGGTACCTTGCGGCCAGGTATGCGGACTTCATCGGTGCGCCTGCTCCTTCACGCAATGCGGAGGACTTCGTGTCCCATTTTCGTTTCCCCTCAATGGAAGCCTGCGTGTCGACAAGATCTGGAATGGGCGCCGTGGCGTGTGCGGCTCTGTCGGGAGATATAGCTATGCTGCGCCGGTTGCTGGGTTTGTTAAGCATACTTAGTTTAAGTTACCATAATAGGGAACTACAGTAAATCATAGGGTTTCCTTATTATGGTGACCCTAAGCCCTAACCTCTTCAACCCTAAACCCCGAAACCCTGATGCCCTAAACCCTAAACCCCTTTATCCCTTAACAAGAACCCAGGTTGGTGAAGATGAAGGCTTCACTGGAGGCCACGAAGATCGCGGCCCTCTGGGAAGCGGCTCTACCACTGAACGCCAGCCCTCTGATCATGACCCTTACCCGTGGGAATCGAGGAGCAACCCTAAACCGGTTTACGGTTTAGGGTCAAACCCTAAACCCTTATGAACACCGAACCCTGGGCCCCGAGAAAACCCTGAACCCTAAACCCTTACCCGTGGTAATCGAGGAGAGGCTGCCGCAGAGGAGCTGCTGAAGCTCCGTGCAGATCCAAACGCGGTGGAGGGCAACGGCGGAGCACCCCTTGCATATTGCACCTAGGTACACTTTCAGTACTATAAGGGGTCATATTATCCCAGAAAGTTGAAAGTGTAGTAATTCAGCTACTAAGTAGGGTTCAGAGTTAAGGGTTTAGGGTTTAGGGGATTAGGGGATTAGGGAGCTAGGACCTAGCTTAACCTGGGTTTAGGGGTTTAGTCTAGGACATTTTGCAGGTGGGTAGTTACCGTAAAGAGGAGCCTTAAAGAAGGTCTATGTCTATATACCTTATATACAGAAGCCTCATAGAAGCCCCAGATACCCTAAACTCCCCACCTGTAGTTTCCTTTACTTTAGGGGGCCAGGGCCGAGCCGAGGGCCCTATAGCTTAACCTGCCAGAACCGTCTATACCCATAGGCCCCTAAGTAGCGCCTTGTTGGGATTAGCCTTATGGGATTCTAGATATAAACCACAAAAAGGAACTACTTAGGGGCCTATGAGTATATTTACTAAGAACATACCAAGAAGTTATAGATGTTTTGGTAGGTTAAGGTAGGTACCCCGTAGGGCCCGTTGCCATTTTTATCTTGCGGCTTCCTTCTTGGAGCTGAATAGGAAAAAATGTAGGCAATCCCTAAACCCTAAACTCTAATATCGGTATTCCAGGCGACACTGGGGAACCAAGGCACCACACCGAACTTTGTAGATTTGCTTGTGGCGTACGGTGCAGACGTCAATCTCCGCAATGCTCCGACGATGGTTTCGCCGCTTTGCGGTGTCTAGGCTCCTCAGTAGTACCCTCTCTCTAGTTTTTCTTTTAGGGTTTGCCTGGTTGAAACTGAGTACCGGGAAGAAGGGTACCCTTTTTATTAAGGGGACATGGTGTACCCAGGTATGTGTGCTCGGGGTGCCCCGCCGGCAACGGTGGCCGCGCTGCTGAAGCACCGCGCAGAGGTGAACTTGAACGAAGGGGGTCTTGGGCAGAGGCTTGGTCGGCCTAGATAGGTCGCTGGGAAATTCGAGCGTTTCTCGATGGGGCTTAAAGGAAATCCTTTTTTCCCCAGAAGTATTAATTGAAACTCATCCTTAAGTGACTAACAGCAACTTCATCTCAGAAAATAATACCTACCTTAACCCCAAATTAACCTACCTTTTTAAGGACTTATGTATATAAAAGTCAGAATAAGGAACCCTAAAAAGGTAGGTTCTTCAGGGTCCAGGTAAGCCCTAAAACCCCAAACCCTGCTCCAAAACCCTAAACCCTCATCCCTCAACCCTGAAGCCTAAACCCTAAATCCCTAAACCCTAAACCCTTCTCATACGGGTTTAGGATTTAGGGTTTAGGGTTTTAATCTAGACTTCTTTTTGACCCAGCCAAAAAGAACCAGGTTCCAGGTTAGCTTGACTTAAAGCTCACCTAGGAGCGCTCTGCAGTTCATGAGCATCTTTGCCAATGGCAATCTCCACAGCATCTCGCCTGCTCAGATGGTGAAACCCGACGAGGATCCATATTGTACATGCCCCTAAACCTTAAACCGTATGTAAGCCCTAAACACTAAAGCAGGCCGATTAACCATAACCCTACACTGTATATAAACCCTAAGCATTGAAACAACGCCCGAAATCCTGCACCCAACAAGCCCGCACCCCGGTTTCTCCGAGACTCGAGACACCTCTTCAAGCTGGGACTAATTGTTTAGGGTTCAGAAGTTGCAGTGTGTAATAGGGTTTAGGCCGTTAAGCTTCATCGTCCATGGCTTCAGTTTTTTTGGCAAGGGGTAGATATACAAGGCCTTAGAAGCTTTAAGGAGCTTAGTCTAATTTCACTCGTCAAAAGAAGGAAATGTTGTTCCTCTTCTGTCGATTCCAGTCCTCTTCAGCCTTAACCGTACACCTTAACCCCAAATAACCTACCGTTTTAAGGACTTATACAAAGAAATCATAATAAGGAGCCCTAAAAAGGTAGGGTCTTCAGGGCCCAGATAGATCTTACACCTTCAACCCCGCAGCCAAGCCCTAAAGCCTCCTAACTCCTAGACCCCAAACCTCATGGCCTCAGCCCCAGTCCTAAAACCTGAACCAAAAGCCTAAACCCGACCTTAGGCCCCAAACTGCCTCTCTTACTTTAGGGACTTGACAAGGAAATCGACTTGAGGAGCCTGAAAAAGGTAGGTTTCCTGGGGTCCGGCTAGCTCTGATCAACCCTAAATCCTCAACCCTACCCCGTCGCCGAGGCGTCAAAGCGACCCGGTTAGGGACCCTTGAACCCTAAACCCTCATGGTATACCTGATAGAAGACCAGAGAGGAGCCCCTGAAGGCACCCTCACTAAACCCTTGAACGCTATAAAACCCTGTAAACCCCTTGACCCCCAAAGCCCTCCACAAAGAGAGCTGAAACCTGGAGCACCCCCTAAACCCTTTCCACCCTTAAAACCCTTCCACCCTAAAAACCCTAAAGCCTAGACCCTATAGGTTTAGGGCTTAGGGTTTAGGGCTTAGACCCTAGACCTTTGCCGAGGCGTCCAAGTCGCCAAGTTGCTTCTCGAGGCCGCCGCTGAGGTCAACAAGCCGGCAAACATAGGCCCAGTGCTCTTCCGACGCAATAAACGGTTTAGGGGTTTAGGCTTTAGGGTTAATAAACTTCGAGCTGCATGCTACAATATACTATAAGACTATAATTGATGCTAAAACTTATAACCTACTATAGTGTACCACAGTATACGTACCAGAATATTATGTTCTGATATCCTATGATCTGATAGGCTAACTCAAGAGAATTTCCAGTATTTCTCGATGGTTTCTGGAGGGTTCTACATGTTTGGGGGTTTAGGACTTATAAATTAGGGTTTGTGCGTTTATTTTAGGCTTTAGGGCGGGTTCATGGCTTATGATGATTTCTCTTGGTTTTGAGGAATGTGGTATCACGGTTTAGGGTTTAGGTATTTCTGTAGTGTTGGTTAAGATATCTACAGGAATTGACATGTGTTTAGGTGCTGTTGGAGGGTAGCCTACGTAATGGCGAAGAAGTCCTTAAGAAGGTAGACCTTTTTGGGATTAGGATATTCCTTCAACCCTCAACTTTTCGGCTAAACCACCGTAGTGCGGTTGAAGTCTATCTTCATTGCGAAAGCTCTAAATTCTATGGAGGTGCAGATGTGCGAGAGCGATCGTCTCCAGACGTCCCTTCAATCCCCGAACCCAGGTTTTAGGGTTTAAAGCTTATAGGCTTCAAAACCCAAACCCACCGTAAGACAAAATAACTGGCCCAACGCGCGGGGAAGCATCCAGCTGATGAGGTTTCGCCTTGTGGAGATGGCCTCCAGGGGCGTGAAGCGTTGCACCCAGGCCTGGCAGAGTGTGATTTGACAACATAAGGGCAGTACTCCAAATTAGGGTCCCTTTTTAGGTCCCCAATATAGTACAGTACGGCACCCTTATCAAAAGGACCCTAAAAGTGACCCGAATTTGGAGGACTACTGTAGAGTCGGGCCTAAGGGTTTTGGGGTTTATAAGGCTTGATGGGCTGCAGCTCTAAACCGCAAAGGGGTTTAGGGTTGGGGTTTATGGGGCTTTGTGGATTTCAACTCTAAACCACAGAGGGTTTTTATCGGCTTCACAGGCCGGTTTAGGGTTTAGGGTTTAGGGGTAATTTGACGACCTGAGGCTTGAATTCATAAGAAAAATGGATTAGGGATACACCTCGTTAGCAACTCCTCTTATGCCGACGATCCTGCCAATCCTGTCGTTGAGGGTTCAGAACGGCCCCTCACGGGGTGTGATATTTCTTGGTGTGATCTTGGAAGATTCAGCATGGCTGTATTTCGCAGTTGCTAGAGCCAACTCTTAAGCTTAAGCCCTAAAGCCCTAAGCTCCTAAGCCCTAAGCCGCCTAAGCCCCAATCAGAAACGGTTTGCTTTGGGGTGTCGGCCAAGATCCCAGATCTCCGGAAGGCATTGTCAGTGCCTTAGGGTGGTTTCTATCCCTGATCCTGCTGTTGGGGTTCAGGGTTTTTAAGGGTTTCCCTAAACCCCCAAAACCCTAAA